TGATTCCTAATAAATATATATTTTTCATAATTTTTCTAGGCTTTAGTCATTTTCTATCAGAAACTTTGTATTCCCAATCATGTTCAATATTAAAAAAAATCTCTTTTACCAGGAACGTGGTCGTTGTTCTCTTACGACGAATCTAATGGCAACGGCGGTTCCACCTGGCGTGTGGCTGCACCAGTTTTGATCCTGGTGACCCTAGCTGTATGCACCGCCGCCGCTGTTCTCGTTTGGAGGCATCGAAGGGCGCAGAATAGTTTCACCAGATTCGCAAATTCTCATTACGACACGAGGACTGGTGCTACTACTATTGGCGCAGGAGGAGTTTTAGGTAAGTAAAAATGAAATTTCAGGGGTAACCTTATTATAAAAACATGTTTTTTAATTACAATATTTATTACAACTGTTAAATAATTAACATCTAACATTATTGATAAATAATAACTTAAATTTAAATGAATAAGAGTGCAAAGAATAGAATTTACATGAAAATAATATCCGTATTATGATGAGTTAATATAAAATAAAAGCAAATATGAATAAAAATGAAATTAATAAATAATATAAATAAAATTTCTGAATAATAAAATAACAATAGAAAAACAATGAAATATAACATAAAAAACATAAAAGCATTTAATTAACTATTGATATGATACAATGCAAATAAATTGTTCGATTTTTCGTCTTTATACACTGTGAAGACATTTGGTAGACAATGGTTTACTTTATATAATTCTTAACAATATTTTAATTATTTTCAACAGTTGTTAGCAATAATTATTTATAACTTCAGCAATAATACAATGTTTTACATATGTTTTTAAACATTTTGCAGATAAAACTTTTACTTTTTTTTAGAAAATTACCAAGTTTTTTGTATTGTAAAGGGAATGTTTTACTGATAAATAGCGTTCAATTAGTTAAAAGATTTTGAATACTTGGTTTCTGATTTGAATGTTGGTCTATAACTTTTAATAAAACTATTATTTCTTTTCATTATATAAATATTAAGTTTTATTTTTAGATGACGATGTTCCTGATATAAGGCCGTTCTCCGACGACGAACCTTTGGTTTTAGCGTAGACCAAAATTTTGTAAGCGCTGTATAATAAATCATATTTAAGTATTGTTTTGAATTAATAAACCTATTTCGTGTTGGCTTCTAAAATCATTTTTAAAATATTCAATAATGAAATAAAAACTACGAAGTATTCGATTTTAATACCATTGATTTTAGAGCTCAAGTTAATATTTGTTTTTAAATATCACACTTTAGGAATGAATCAATGAATTTAATATAATTATTTAATCAAAACCGTTGTACTAGTTTTTTAAATAGTACCCCACATTTAAATATTAATTTTTAAGTGATAAGTGGTAAAGACAAGGTTCTGTGATTAAATTAGTAAGTAGTTGTAGTGAAATGTTATCAAGTCATACTTTGAGTTGTTAGAAGAGAATGTTGATTTTATGTTTTTTCTATTCATATGCCTGCATACCATTTTAAAAATGTATATATTTGTAAGTTTAACGGAATATAATGAATTGTATGTGCAATTTTCACCGAGGCCAAACAAACCAAAGATCTAGGTTGCATTCAATTTGTTACAAATATAATGAAATGATTAGTTAATTTGCGAAAACTTTTCTTCGTGTAAATATTGCTAAATTTGGAATGAAGTCTGTGGTCCAAGATACATTTTTCTATTCTAATTCATAGAATTCTAAATTTACAAAATTTTTATCTTTAATTGATTTCATTTTATGTAGATATTATTTTTTGTTTTTTTAAATTTTATTATTATTATTATTATAACATTTATTTATTATTACACATTTAATTCTAAATCTATTTCTTATCTTACCTTTTTCTTGATTGCATTATTTCTTGATAAAAATAATGTGCTTCGTTAATTTTCTGGAAAATAGTTCCATTAATTTAAATTTCTTTTCTCGGTTTGATAAATATCAATATAATATCAGTTTTTTCTAAATAGATCTTTGGACATGAATATTTACTAGTTTTTTAACTTTTCAATTATCAAATGACTGTATTCATGGTTACTATTAGAAAATTAACTAAAGCATTCTGATATTTTTGGATATGAAGTGTGAGTTATAATTATGGAATGAGGCAAAAAGAGTTTTTTCAGTATTTGTAAGTTGATTATTTTTATATTGCTATTGTATAAATTTTTTAAATGAATGTCATTAAGCAAGATAATAGAAGTAATATAGGGATTAGACTGATTGCTTCAAATTTGTACGAAGATATAAATATAATGAACTACTGTATATATTATACTAATTAAAATAATTTACATTACGTTTTGTTATAAATTAAGATAGCATGAAATCTTTTCAGAACGACTACCACCTAGATGATTAAATTTTTAGTTATTGAAATTTAAAAGAATTTTAAAATTGCAATGGAAAAGTAAAGACTGTTCATGCCCACAATATAAATTACATTTTTAAATCACGAAGTAGGATGAATGTATTCATTAAATCAATTAGAATTAGCTTTCTTAGTTGCAAGAAATGGTTGAAATTCTAATTGTTTGGATTTAAAATGTAAATGTTATTACATAACAGTTAAAATTTTGATGGCTTATTTTGAAAAATTGCCGAATCTCTTTTCTTCATTACTTTTTACACAATCTTAAGGCAAAATACTACTTACGCCTAGTTATATAAATCAAAGATTCATGCAGCTTTTGACTTAATTTTAAAAACTTTAATGAACCAAAGACAAATTTTACTGTATATATATATATATATATATATATATATATATATATATATATTAAGTTATTTTTTTTACCTAAAAGGCCATCCACATCCATAAAATTTAAGGTAAGTATTTCAAATACCTGATTTGAATCCATATGTATTATTTTACTGATTTTAGTTCAAATATTTTTCAGCACATTGATGATTACACCTTACTGGATGGAAAACAGATAACGATGTAAGCGATAAGAGGTAATGATTTATTAATTCGTTTGCATGTTTTTCATTTAAATTAAATTCACACTTGCTGCAGGATATGGTTATCAATATTTTACAATATTGATTAATAATTTGTTAGTAGTTGGTGGTTATAACTACTATAATGAATTTCTAATATACATTTAAAAAAAAATAGTGCACACCCACTAAGCCAAAATACGTAATATTTATGTAATTTTTACGCAAAAATGTTACATACTTATGTCATTTTTACGTAAGATTAATATAAGATATGTATCATAATTTCGCCTATTTTAAGTAATGTGGATTACGCAATATGGATTACGAATATATTTCATAATAATTACGTAATTTTTGAAAAAAAATGACGTGGAGGGGCCCTTTTTTTACACACATACGTAAATACATATTCATATATATGAACCCAAACACACACATATATATACACATTATATATATATATATATATATATATATATATATATATACACATGTATATATATATATATACACATGTATATATATATATATCTTCTATATATATAAAAATAAGTCGGGTTTTCCTTCCTGACGAAATAACTCCAGAATGCACAAACCGATTTCGACAATTTTGCATTCGTTGGAAAGGTCTCGGGCTCCGCAAGGTTTATAGATAAGAAAATTAGTGGTGCATGGCATAATGCAAATGCTGGAACTTGACGCACCGTAATTAAAAATTCGAGTAATGACATTAGTGAGAATTATCAGAATTATGCTTGGTTAAGTCAACGAGCAATTCTTGCCGCAAAGAATAATGATGTACACGCACTGAATTTCACCATTCAATCAAAAATTGCTGGCGATTTGGTGACATACCAATGATTCTGACTCGTCTTCCGTTTGACTTCAAACGATTGCAATTTCGAGTTCGCCTTACGTTCGCAATGACGATTAACAAGTCGCAAGGCCAATTGCTTAGTGTTTACGGGATAAATCTCAAATAGATTACTTAGAAAATCATTGTTTTGCACATTGGCAGTTATACGTTGCCTGTGCACGAGTTGGAAAACCATCCGCTTTGTTTGTGTTAACGTCAGACCAAACAACAAAAATGTGGTTTACCAAAGAGCACTTCAATGAAACGGATAATTTGCAAATTCACTTTTATTTACTTAGAGAAGTTTAACTAAAAAACACTTCATTTTTGTAATGGAAATAAATTCATTACTGTTGTGCAATAAAATCAATTTTTTTCTTTTCAAATATAAAACGAACAAAAAATTACTTCATCTTTCTCACGAAACCATCTGGTGGCGAAACGGAGTTTGTCGGGTTTGCTAGTATATATATATATACACATGTATATATATATATATATATATATACACATGTATATACATATATATATATATATACATGTATAAACATATATATATACACACACATATATATATATATATATATATATATATATACATAGCATATATAAATATATACATATTTATATATATATACATATATAAATATACATACAGTATACATATATATATACATATATATTGGAATTGGTGCACCATATGGAATAATTTTATTTTATGCCAATATGCCATAATTTTAAATAATGCATTACTTGCATACAAATGGAACATATCGGAGTTTTTTTTATTAATTTTAAGTACAATGTTTAAAATCAGTAAGTTGTACTTTAAATGAAACACATTCACAGAACGCAGAAAATAAGTATAATAGAGATTAAATATAATATGGATTAAGTATAATTGAGATTATTAATATTCAAAAGATTATGTTTACTAAAGCATATCTTTCTATATAAGAATTGGTTAAATTGTCAAATTATGAAATTTAGATTCAATTTGAGAATCTTCTTCTGGAACCTCATCATGCTGGTCTGCAATAGCACAAAAATAATGATTAGAAACATAATAATAAATCTTCTTAATTCTTAACACATTAACTATGCATTTGATTTTTGTAATCTGGCGATTAATATAACTTACCCCACATTATTAATTATATCTAGTTTATGAGAAGTTGAATTTTAACAGCTTGGCATTTCAATTATTAGTTAATATCCTAAATATTAACTATTAGGAAATAAATCTGAATTTAGAATTATTTTACATTTATTACCTGTCTGCTGCTCTGTTGATGTATATTTATCAACTGTTTCACTCTCTGATAGATCCCTCGAAGAATCATGAAAACTATGGCGGCGCAATTTTTTTGCATCCAGGATTATTTTTCCGTTCTCGCTGTTCTAGAATGGATATTAATAATGATTAATATAATTATTTAATAGCCAATGCGTCGAAATAATTGGTAAGAGATGTCTCCTTCAATTTAAAAATGTACAAAAGCAAATTCAACATTATAATAATCGCAGATTATAAAATTTTGTATACCAATTAAAAACACATTAGACAAATAATTAAAAAAAACTTGTTGTAAATAAGCAACATTTTTCCTTAAGGCAAGTGGCATTAACCTCCGGGCACGTATACATGACAAACTATTTATTTTGAAAATAAAAATAAAAATCCTCCGCTTTCACTAAATTTTACTAAAATGATTTCCAATTGATATTTTATAATATCTGTAATTGTATGAATTAAATTAATTTGTTTAACAAATTTCATACCACATATTTCGGGTTACATTTTATTTAAGGGTGGAGGTCAACTGTAATCAGTACGAAACAAGAAACATACATATGCATGAAAGGCATAGATTCTAATTAGAATCGCTCAAGCTTGCGACGACATATAAACTTCGATGAATTTTTATAATTTAACCGCTCAATCGTAGGACTATAATATTTTAAACAAAATTTCACCAAAATCATTAAAATAAATTTCAACATTTAATTACGAAGAAACGGAGGAAAAACTTTACGCTTTTTTGCTAATCACAAAGAAACGACTTGGCCGATCGTCGCGCAAAATTAATAAACCCTAGTGCTCTGCAAAATTTTTGAAAATTTTTTCATGCTATTTCTATACAAAACTTTGAATTGCGTTCTATCTAAAAGACAATATTAAGGGCTAAAACTTCCAGAAAATTGTTTTTTATCATTTTGGAACCATTTGAGCCCTTGGGAGCAAAGAAATTCGAAAATGTCCATATTAAGAACCACTCTAATATATATATTAAGTTATATTAAGTTTGAATTTAACTCTGCTCACAGACCTGCCTTAGGGCAGTACTTCCCATTATTATTTATATATGAAGCAGCCAAAACCAAAAAACATAAAGGTATAAATATTAGTTATCTGGCAAACTGTAATATTAAAGTGTACATTCAAAACTAATAGCTGTTTATGTAACTTCATACCTCTAAAAGTGTGATTTTATCTTGCAGTTTTTTATTGGACATCTGATAATTTTTTAGTTTTCCCAATAATGATTCACATTTTTCATTCAAGCTAACCGTGTTCGCATTCGATCTGTGGAAAATTAAAAATAAATTAATTCTAATGAACAGAATTAAAAGATGGTTATGTTGCTTGTCGAATTCTTACCCAGATAAGCTGTTCTCCAAGCATTTTATTTTATCATGCAGTTCTGCTATACTAGAATTGATATTAAATCCAGATTCTAAATTTTCGGATTGTATCATGTTGTTCGATTCGTTCTCCTTATCATCGGAATAATCGATGTCTTGATTTTCTAATTCTTCTAATTTCAATTGATTGTCGACATAAGTTGGGCGCGTGTTTTCAATTTGCAATTGCTTTAATTTCATCCATTTAGCTTTAAAGTGATCTACCAATATTCTCACCACCGCAACGAAATATTCGAAGGAGTTTTTCTCATTTAATGACACTAAATTACTAGATTTTACTCCCATCATGTTTTGTAGATGCTCAATGCAGTCTCGGAAGAATCCATTGTATTTGAGCATATTGTTATGAAGCTCTGTGGTTGTTTCCGATAATTGCATTTTATAACACCTTATTTGATTGAACATGTCAAAATTGATATATTTTAATATTTTATTATTTTTTATTAACAATTGCAAGTCGTGCTGGTTTTTCTTCTGCATAATCAATTCTTTCATCAACTTTACGTAAAATAATGCACCATCATTTTCATTGCCGCCTGTTTGTATTATATCTACTATCTTATTCTGATAATCGAAGAGTTCTGTTATATTTTTTTCAAATATATCTTTCATATTTTTTAGTTCTGCAAATAAACTCAAATAATTACTCACGATTGGCATATTTTGATCACATCCATATAACACAGAATTTTCTAATTCAAATCCGTCACGATAATGATAATTTAGTGCCTCTAGCAATTCTCCATCAGTCAGTTGTTTTTCTAAACTTTTTGCATTTTGTGTTAGTATTGATTCTTCATTTACATCCTTGCAATGTTTGTGCTCTTCCACTAATTTGTCATATTTGATTGTAAGATCATCGAAAGAAGCTAGCAGCTTTTGATGATCTTCTAATAATGTCTGTTTTTTAAGTTCATGTTTCATCAAATGCTGACTGTATATTTTATTCATTTCTTTATATTCGGTGTCAATATTCTTGTGAGCGACTTTCAAATTTTCGCAACGTATTGTTAAATCTTCTGCCTCCAATTTATAACATTGGATTTCATTCTCAAGATCGGCATTCTGTTTCTGCAATTCTTCCACTGCAGTTTTTAATTTGAAGGCATCTAAATTTTTCAAATCTTCTTGTTCTGCATTAAGAATAGAAATGGTATCATTTTGATGCATACTCCATTCTTCTAATTTTTTATGTTGTATTCGGAGTGTTTCTAGCTGCTTCTCAAGGTCTGAAGCATGTAATTTGAGTTGATTCACGTCTTCCTCATTTGTATTATTTTTGATTTCTTGACCCGCTTTATCCTGGATGTTTCTCGAAATGGTCATTTGCGTATTTTTTAATTGTTCCTTCAGCTGGATATTCTCATTTGTCAGTGCGCTCAAATTTTGTTTAAGAGTTTCAATTGTCTTGTTTTTTCCAGAAATAGTTTTATAGAGTTCATTATTTTGAAGCTCGTATTGCTTTCGAAGATCAGCATTTTCTGCTACCGTTTTTTCATTACTTTCATGAAGCGTGCTTAGATCTGATTCCAACTCCTCCAATGCTTTTTGCTGATCAGAATATTTTTGCAACAGATCTGAGACCTGCGTTTTAGATTTGGAGAATGCACTCCCTAGTCCCTTATTCAAGGTGATTAATTCTATAACTTTTTCATTATTACTTGTAAAATTTCTAAGAAAATGAGCGAAAAACTTAAGCGTTGAATCTGATGGACGATTGGTATTCGTTGAGCGAATACCAATTTTGTACTTATCATAAATGGATGTGGCTTCTTTGCATTGGGGCAAGGGGTCATTTTTGGAATTTGAATATTTTTCTAATTCATCATATGTTAGTGTTAAGCTTTCAGCTTCATTTTCAAACGCGTTGTTTATAAGTTTTTTAAATTCGATATCACCCTTTGGACCATATGTAAGTGAGTATTTTATCAATTCTCCTATTATGGCCTGCTTTTCTTTTAGAGCATAAACTGCCTTTTTTAGTTGCATTTTGGTTAATCGTTCATTAATTTCATCTGTAATATTTTTAGTTATTAAAGATATTTTTGAAATGTTATTCTTATAGTTAATTGAAAGGTGATGGCATGGCAAGTTTAATGGAGATATTAACGCTTACTGATGAATAAAATACAAGTAACTTTAAAATGCTATTCTAAGTCAGTACAGTAATCGCAAAAAATCGAAAAAGAAAATTTTCACATATATTTACGTTTGAAAGGTTTCTGAACATTTTGGCATACTTTAGAAAAAAATGCATGTATGTGTATGTGTGCATGTGTGTGTATGTGTGTGTTCGGGAACACGGATCAACCGAATTGAAAATTTTTAAAAACATTCGATTTGTATTGATAAGGAGACGTGCTGAATAGTTTTTGGCATAGGCAGGTCTAGCCGTTTCGAAGATACGGGGCAAAAAGGACCAAAAATGGTAATTCAGCTTTTGAGAGAACTAAGCGTCCGAATTGAATCTGAACGAAAGACTGTTTAAATTTTTGGAAAGGCAGGTCCAGAGGTTGTGGACTGTTAAAATGTGGACTGTGGAATATCAAAATTAAAAATATTGGTACGGAACCCAAAAAATTGACACAAGATGTATACACATTATTAAAATATCTATAAAATATCTGATAATTTAATGTGCATATGTCTAATGATTATTTTTGACTTTGCCAAAATGCCAAATGGCATTTTTTGACTTTTTCACTAGATCTCCGAAACCGCTAAACCTGCCTTCCCAAAAATTTACTCAGTAGTTCATTTCGTCAAAACAAGTTTTTTTTAATTTTGTTTTATTTTTGCTAATTTTAATGATCAGATTACAATATAATCTATAAGTTAAAAGTGATGGTATTGAAAATCAAAATAAAGAAGACAAAAAAAATATGCCAATGCCAAAAACTAATCAGCACGTCTCCTTATTAATAGGTATCGAATGTTTTTTTAATAATTGAAATCGGTTGAACCGTGTTCCCGAAATCGTCGACAAAAATTTGTATCCTCGCACACACACACACACACATACATTCATTTTTTCTAAGGTATGCCAAAATGTTCAGAAGGTTTTGAAACGTAAAGACATATAAAAGTTTTCATTTTTGATTTTTTTGCGATTACTATAACTTACCCTACGGGAAGTTAGTAAAGAGAACTTTTGCTTTTTATAGTGTGTTTCAATTTCTTTTTTGCAGTGATAAATATTTAAAGTTTATTTATCATTATGCAAATAAAAATAAGCTATTTAAGAATATGCCCTTATAAATTATTGTAGTAAAAAGAGAATTCATAAATATGACTTGAATTATAATAATTATCAATTAGTAAACTTACTATATTTTTCTTCGTCAAGATCATCCTCCATTTCTGGCATTTCTGGCATTTCTGGCATTTCAGGCATTTCTGGCATTTCAGGCATTTCAGGCGTTTCAGGCATTTCTGTTCGAGTATTTGGCTTGTCGTCTAATATCGGTTCAATTTTAGCAACAGGGTACATGTCGAAGCACTCTGATAGCTTTCTCAAAAACGTTTCCAAATCTGAAGTTTCTTGGTGGAACTCGCACAGCGACAGAAATTTTACACTTCGGATCAAGTAAATAGATGTCAGTAATAAGAATATGTAAAACATGAATTTCTTACAAAAAATTATTTTAAATCTATACGTTTCGGCTATAATCCTAGCCTTCATCATTCACTGGAAACTAAAAATAAAATTAAGAACTAAAACAATTGAAGTGAAAATAAAATAAAAAAATTGGAAGATTTTAATAATCCAATGTATCAGGAAATGGTTTGGTATATTAGAATTCTCGTTTGCCAAATAAATTGTCTCGATTGTGATTAAATTGAAATAAGAGAAATCAAACAGAACTTGATAAAACGTTTACAACAACATAAAAACAATTCAACAAATACTAGACAACTCAAAACTATGCTTGCGGACCCGACTGTACTACAATTCGAACAAAATTTATTTAAACGAGGAATTATAGAAGGATCTTTTTTAACTATTTATAATAATAAGACAATTATTAAACGGAATGAACTTAACACGCTGTGCGACACAAATGTCTTTTATTTAGATAGCATTTCCAAATTTCTCGCAAAACAATAAAAACGCAATTCGTTCCACACATGTGTATTCTCCATTATGTTTGCAACCAGTCTACGAACAACACACTATCAGTTTGTTTTTTTAAAATTAGTATCTTGTGAAAATATTGTGTAGTGCATTACCATATCCTGATACCATGAATGATTAAAATCTTCTAATTTAACACTAAGATTAACTAATTTTAAGTACTTTTTACTCTTTATATATTTTTTTCTTTTCACTCCAATTCAATTGTTTTGGTGTTTAATTTAATTTTTAGTTTCTACTGATTGAAGGTTAGGTTTATAGCCGAAATGTATGGATGTAAAAAAATCTAGTTTTTTATGTTATATATATATATATATATATATATACACACACATATATGAGTTTAGTTTATATAAGAACCTGGCGTTACATCAATGAAAATTGTATTAATTGTCTGTAAGTTTATTTGAAATCCATACGTTTCGGTTAAGGGTGCTTTTTATTATGAAGGCTATGATGTTAGCCAAAACGTATAGATATTGTAACCAGCATTAGGCCTTAACCAGCATTATCGGTTTATATATATATATATATATATATATATATATATATATATATCAATATTTTCATTGTGATACATACGGATTGACAACACATATTAAACTAGCAGCCCGAATAAGCAGATTTTTATGCAAAGTTGAACCGACTGTACGAGGTGAACCAGAAAATATTATATTTTCTTTTATATTCTTAATTCGTTCTTTCATCTCGAGCATATTTCCACTTGCTTCACCCTGAAAAATTATAAAATAAATAAGTATAGTTTTAATATTTTATTAGTTAAAATATTTTATCTTCACTTGATTTGCAGGGGTATATTCATGTTTTAGTCTGGAAATAAAATGTTCCATTTTCTTCAGAAGCGTGTCTTCCGAAAAAACTTTGTTGACATGTATGTTGTTTTTAATGTTCTTTGCGTTGTCAGCAAAACTATTGACAAAGTTAAATGCTTACTAAAATGTATAAATTTAAATCTATAAACTAGGTACAGCAGAACCTCAATTAACCGGATAATCAAAAATCCGGATAATCCGGATAAGAATAGAGATGCGTATTTATCAAAAGTAGCAAATAAATACATAGATATATCAACGAAAATCAATGTTCAATAAGAAATTAACATTTCATGTATGTACATAACTACAAACATATTACTCAGTCGCGGTTGATAGTCTGGATAATCGTGAATCTGTACAACACAGGTCCGAATAATCAAGGTTCTACTGTATTATATTTTACCGCAAAGTCGAATATGTCTCATCTATATCCAGTGGTGAAACCACACATATTAAGGCCGTCATCTCATAACCACCAAATGGTTTGTCCAAAATTTCTGCTAGTTTACTTTCATTACAGTTTACACTGAAAAAATCATGGTGTTATGCAAATCCATCTTATAAATCAAAACTGAAATTATATTTATATAACCCAAGGAATAATCGTAGCAAACTGAAGCAAACTATTTTTCTCTACTAGTTTTTAGCAATCATCAAACTTTAAATATGAAATAACAACAAGCAAAGAAATTAGTTGGGTGCATAGCATCGTTTTTTAAGGCAAATGGCTGGAACTTTCCGTACCGTGATTAAAAATCTTGGTACGGAACCCAAAATAATTCACACAAAATGTGTACACATTATTAAAATCTCTATAAAATATCTGACTTCCATAGTGCATGGCCTCAACGAACATCTTAAAAAATGACTGGCCTACAATAAATAGTTTAATAAAAAAAAAATTTGACTTTGTATATATCGTATCTACATCGTATATATTCCAATTGGTGCACTGATTACCGTTGACCACTTAATAAATAAAACATTTTTAGAAGAAATTGCAATCAAATTATTATTATTGGTGATCTTCCCAATGACAGGTCTATGGCGTGTTAAATAAATTAAATTACAATTATAATTTTATTTGAAAGATCAATGAAGAATCGCATGAATGAATTTCATTCAATTTCACGAACTATTATTTGGGATTAAATGCATTAATTTAACTTTTTTTTCGGATTAAATAGTCTTAATTCATTTTTAGTAACATGATCGTCACTCAAGTATTCTTTCATCACTTAATGTGGTTTTTGTGTTTAACAATTATATATGATTTATCCACCTAAGAATAGCCTCATTTGGACAGTAAACGTATTAAAGTTTTTTTTTATCTAGATGGATCCCGGTTTGTTATCTAGATGGATCCCTGTTTAAATCCCTGTTTTATTATCTATAAATTATTAAAATTATGTTAAAATCTTAAATTTTTACAGCTATCTTAAAATTATCTCAACTTTACAATTTCTATTTACTCCCTGGGTTATTATCATTTATTTCACATATATTATTTGATTGCTTACTTCCTGAGCCCCTGATACTGGCTCAGATACTCCACTTCCGAAATTAAGGATCTCAAGCTTATATCACAAAAAATTTCGCATCGGTTTCCATTCTGTTCTTCTTCTATCATTTGAAAGTAACTTTCTGAACCTACCAGGTCAATAAAATTTAAACACGAAACAAGGGCCGTCTGGTCAGTGAAGTCCTGGTGTATCCCTCTAGATTGAATAATCTAAAAAATAATATTAATAGATAAGAATATTTTTTATTTGTAGAGTTGATATTAATCCAAATCTAACTTACTATACTAAAAACGGTGTTCGTGTTGTTCTGTTTCGTAGAAGTTGCCCTCACTTTATGATTTTCTCTGCCTATTTTTAATAGCTCGAGAATTTGATCGGCAGAACTTATTATTTTTTCACCGTATCTAACATCAGAACCATTCGTTTTCTCAATATTGAGGATTGCTCCGTCGTTCTTTATCAAATCGTAAATGTTTTCATCATCAATTTCATAATAGGAAATCCTGAAATTATAAAATATTGTGCATCATATATTAAATCACATATTTCTTTTATACTTAAAATTACAATGTAATTTAATGTATAAGGTTGTCAAATATCTCCCTTCCGCTTTTTTGCTCTTGGTTTATAATACAAATATCTCCCTACCGCTTTTTTGCTCTTGGTTTATAATACAAAAAGGCGGCAGGGAGATATTTGACAACCTAATATAACCACAACCTATATGCGTCTAACAATTTTGTTACAATAATTTGTAGAATACTTTGTATATATTATAATATATAAGCATATAATACATATATTTATATATGTATGTATGTATGTATATTTATATATGTATGTAGGTATGTATATTTATTTATGAATGTATTTATGGATATTTATATATGTATGTACGTATATTTGTATACGCATGTATGTATATTTATGTATGTATATTTATATATGTTTGTACTTATGAATATATATATGCATATTTGTATATGTATTGTATGTATATTTGTATATGTATGTATGTATGTATTAAGTATATTTATATATGCATGTATGTATATTTATATATATATATATATATATATATGTATGTATATTTATATATGTATGTGTGTATGTGTGTATGTATATTTATATATGTATGTATTTATGCATATTTATATATGTATGTATGTATGTATGTATGCATCTACATTTATATATGTATTTGTGTAATGTATGTATACTTATATATGTATATATTATGGTGGTCCTTTAAATTGACATTTTCGAATTTCTTTGCTCCCAAGGGCTCAAATGGTTCCAAATTGATGAAAAACAATTCTCTGAAAGTTTGAGCTCTTAATATTAACTTTTAGATAGTGCGCAATTCATTCAAACTTCGTATAGAAAAAAATTTGAAAATTAAAAAAAAAATTTTAGGTATAACTTAGCTCAAATAAATTAAAAGTGAAAATTCGTGTCATTTTTTATTGAAAATTCAACGCTCTGCAAAATTTTTGAAAATTTTTTCATGCTATCTCCATACAAAACATTTCAATACAAAAAGACAATACATATATATATATATATATATATATGTATGCATGTATGTATGTATGTTTATGTAAGTATGCATGCGTGTATGTATATGTATACACATTTATGCATGTATGAATGTAAATTTGTGTTAATTTAAGTATGTATGCGTCTGTGCATGTAATTATGTGTGCCTACATAAACACATACATACACATAATACATATGTATGTATGTGTGCATGTTTCTATACATGCATACATGAATATATATTTCGAATAAATATGCTTGTATGTATCTATGAATTTATCTGCATATGTATGTATATGGTTTATTTATGTATATTTAATTAAATATAAATATATATAATCTTTGTATGAGAATACACATATAAAAATAATACAAATATGCAATAATATTTTATTATCAATTCAGAATACTAATTGTATATGTAAACAATTGTAAGTTTGAAAAATACCTCAACAAAAATTGTCTCCCCTTAATGCTTTGGATCTTTTGAAAAATATGGGACACCGAAAGATCTATAATTCCAGTTTCATTCACATCTCCATCAAATATATACGTTTTTCCTGCACCCGATTGGCCAAAGACAAAAATATTCCCTGTTATACCTTCTAGGGCTGATTCGACCATAGGCTTTGCTATTTTGTCGAAAATTGCCACATTTGACGTAGATGGTTTAAAGACGGTCTCTGAAATTAGTAAGGATAATGATCAGTCAAACATTCATATACCATCAAAAGAAAATATTTTATTTTTCTTACAATAATCAAACTTTCAAAACAATATTTTGATACACCATTATTACCAAATATCTTACGATGTAGAACTTACCAAATTCATACTTATCATTAGGCGCTTCTGAAAAAAAGATGATATTGTCTCTGATGAACCATGCTGTTTCGTAGTCAGCCAGATTTTTTGATTCCACTGCCCTGGACTTAATTACTACTTGAATATTTTTTTGAACCACATCCATATTGCTCTTCTTGGCTTTGCAAAATTTGTAGATAATGGCGAACCAATAATTTGCGACACCTGAATGATAAAAGAATATTATCTATTGAACCTAGCAATCACTTACTAAAGATTGTCCAATTCCAATAAATGAAATCATGATAATAGGTAGATATGATAATATTTATATTTAATGCAGTACAATATTGTAGACAAAGGGCACAATGTCCTTTAAACAATTGCTATTGGTGAAGAAAATGGCGTATCAAAATCTTACAACACCTGACTGTCTATTGCAAATTCCCTGTTTAATGTTTAGCAAATGAATAAATCCAATCCGTTGGATGAAGACGTAATCACACTTAATATAGTATATAACTTCTAATATTGTAGTCACTAATTTTATTTTGCACAATACACTTCAAACCCTAGACAATATTGGAATATGATATATTCCTATTCTTCAAACAATTGCCATTGGTTAAGAAAATGGCGTATCAAAATTTCATGACACCTGAATATCTATTGCAAATTACCTGATCACTATTAAGTAAATCAATAAATCCAATCCAGTGGATGAAGATAATATTTAAATTAGCACAATATATTTCAAACCCTAAACAATATTGGAATATGATATATTCCTATTTTTCAAACAAATGCTATTGGTTAAGAAATGGCGTAACAAAATTTCACAACACCTGAATATTTATTGCAAATTACCTGTTCAATGCTTAGCAAATGATAAATCCAATCCGGTGGATAAAGACAATATTTATACTTAATACAACATGTAATTTCCAATATTGTAGTCACAAATTTTATTTAGCACAATATACTTTAAACCCTAGACAATATTGGAATATGATGTATTCCTATATTTTAACCAATTACTATTGGTGAAGAAAATGGCGGATCAAAATTTTACAACACCTGACTATCTATTGCAAATTACCTGATCAACGTTAAGTAAATCAATAAATCCAATCCGGTGGATGAAGACAATATTTATACTTATTGTTAGTACAGTATATAATTTCTAATATTGTAGACACAAATTTTATTTAGCACAATGTACTTTAAACCTTACAATTAGACAATATTGGAATATGGTTATTCCTATTCTACAAATAATTGCTATTGGTTAAACAAAATGGCGTATCAAAATTTCATGACACCTGAATATCGATTGCAAAATACCTGTTCAATGTTTGGTAAATGAATAAATCCAATCCGGTGGCTAAAAACAATATTTATACTTATTACAGTATATAATTTTTTTTATTTCAATATTGTAGTCACAAATTTTATTTAGCACAATATATTTCAAACCTAAACAATATTGGAATATGATATATTCCTATATTTCAAACAATTGCTATTGGTGAAGAAAATGGCGACTCAAAATTTCACAACACCTGTATAACTATTGCAAATTACCTGTTCAATGTTTAGTAAATGATTAAATCCAATCCCGTGGATAACGACAATATTTATACTTAATATAGTATATAATTTCCAATATTGTAGGCACTAATTTTATTTAGCACAATATACTTCAAACCCTAGACAATATTGGAATATTATATTCCTATATTTCAAACAATTGCTATTGGCGAACAAGATGGCGTATCAAAATTTTATAACACCTAAATATCTATTGCAAATTACCTGTTCAATGCTTAGCAAATGATAATCTCCAATTCGGTGGATGAAGACAATATTCATACTTAATGCAACATGTAATTTCCAATATACACAAATACTATATAATAGTAGACACAAATTTCGTTTAGCACAATATAATTTAAACCCTGGCCAATATTGGAATATGATATTTTCATATGCTTCAAACAATTGCTATTGGAGAAGAAAATGGCGTACCAAAATTTCACAACACCTGAATACCTATTGCAAATTACTTGTTCAATGTTTAGTAAATAAATAAATCCAATCCCGTGGATGAAGACAATATTTATACTTAATACAGTATATAATTTCCAATATTGTGCAGACACTAATTTTATTCAGCACAATATACTTTAAAACCTAGACAATATTGGAATATGGTATATTCCTATATTTCAAACAATTGCTATTGGCGAACAAAATGGCGCATCAAAATTTTATTACTCCTGAATATCTATTGCAAATTACCTGTTCAATGTTTAGCAATGAATAAATCCAATCCGGCAGGTAAGACAATATTTACACTAAATGCAGTATCCAATTTTCAATATTGTAGACACAAATTGTATTATCACAGTGTACTTAACAAATGCAACTTCATAAGAAAATTTCTCATTAATAACAAATGACTGATATCATTAAAAAGATTAGTCACTATATCCGGAAGTAAATTTTGGATCTGCGCAGAATCGAAAGTTCTAGAGATTCATCTCGGAGAAATATAGTAGTGTTCGTTGCCTTAGAAAATTGGATCTGGCGTAAAATTGTGAAATAAAAATTATTTTTATTTTTCTGTCCACGTCATTTGTATTTGTATTATTGTTAAAATGAATATTTTATTCTGTATTGTTTTTTTATAATTTTTGGTTTTTGTCATAGATAAAAGAAGAGTATATGTTTTTGTTTAAATTTCAAATTTATTATTCTGATGTAAAGGTGCGTGATACAACAGGTGTTCACCAAAGATGTGCATTTGATTTTGTGAAGGTGTTAAACATTGTCATGACCATATTTTTCTTTTATCTATGATCATGACGATTTCACGACTTTTGACTAACTTCACCCTAATCATAGATAGAAGAAGAGTATCATATATAAAAAAAGAAGAGTATCATATATAAAAAAAGACCCAACTCTTCTTTTATCTATGACTTCATCTAATGCTAATCAACTTGCTACTTGTTTAAAATAATTAAACATTTCTTGGATAAAAGCATTTTTTTATCTTACTACTCGCCTAGATTTCACAAATACTTAAGAAGACTAGTTGTAAGTAGCATTTTGCCATAATCAACTTAATCAGTAAGAATTGAGATTTAGATATTTAGGTAAAATTCTGCTCAATTGTTATTTGAAAAAAAATCGGTTTTATAATTAAAAATGATTTCTAATTGATGCCATTCAAACATACTTATAATATCTGCAATTTCCTAAATTATATTAGAATGTTTAATACATTTTATTCATCTATTATGGGTCTAAAATGTATTTTATTTAAGTGTGGATATCAACTGTAATCAGCAGCTACCTACGAAAAAAGGGGCGAGCTTACACTTCGTCATAGATTCAGATCTTCCCAACCAACTAATATATTTTGAATGGTTTCATAATTTTTAAAATCAAATCAAGATTGTGAGCTAAAAACGTGGACATTTTTTCAGCAATTATGTCTATGTAGGACAGTTGTGAATACATTGTTGAATAAAAAAAAAAATCTGAAATTTTTACTAATTACAATGAAACCGCTCAAACGATCGTCACTTAAAATGATAAAAGCTTAAGTTGTCAATTGATGTTCTCTTCAAGTTACATTGTTATATCAAGGTTACATAGAATGGCTTTTAAAATTTTGAAATCAGTACAGCCGTTTTTGAGCAAACGTCGGCGAAAGGTAAAAAATAGGTTCTTTCTCTCATACACACACATACATTAACACTACACTTCCAAGTGTTTAATAGACTGCGATCTTTGTAGGAAGCAGATCGAATGGCAATACATAATTGGAAGAGAAGTATAATGTAAGAGCGAGGTTAGAGCATTCTATTCTCCCCCCATGAAGTAATGCTAAAAGCGGTTTTCGTAGGGACCAGAGGCAAGAGTCGATATTGAGTCCGATATATTTTCAATTACAATATTTGTTAAACTGCTAAATAATTTAACACCTAGTAAAATAATGACAACAAATTTAAATAAAAAAGTACAAAATGAAGGATAGTTTCTCATTAAATGATATCCGTAGTATGATGATTAACATAAATAAAGCAAATAATAATATAATAAAATAAATAAATAAAAGAGTCGACATACCCAGACAAAACACCTAGTATGAAAAGCATAAATGCATTTTCTTTGGCTATACAAAAAAAATGCACGTACTTTTTCCAAATTTGGTCTCATTCTATTTAGAATGACTTCAAACGTCGAAAAAATTCAATCAGCAAATTGAAAACGATATTTTAAGAAAAAATGATGCAAGCGGACTTAGTCTAAATCTGCTCAGGTAACAGGTTTCAGTAAGATTTTTATTTTTTATTCTGGTTCTATTATCTCAATATAATCGAATGGTATGGTACAAGGCAATAA